TGTAGTTGCAGCTCATGTGACCTATCTGCCTTTGTTCTGACCTTCGTGGTTCTATTGCTTCGTGTGCAGTTCGATTAATTCCCAGTGAGGTTTCCCTGTTTTTCGGTAGGCCGCACTGTGGACTGTCCCTTCAACAGCCGGGCCCCCGCATCTGCCTGGGTGTCCATACCCCTCAGATGCCTTTGATCCCAGAAAACAAAAAAAATAATAATAATAATTTTAAAAATAAGAATGAAATAAAAAATAACAAATATAAACTACCTGTGGTCTGACACAGTGGCTGTGGTTAATACTCTCGCCTCACACTTCTACGTTCCGGGTTCACGTATCCACCCTGGCTATATGTGTGACAATGACATGTGTGCCCTGTTGAGTTGGTGCTCCATCCTGTATTGTTCCCTGCCTTATAGTCAAGAAATTCATCATCTGTGCACACACAGTCACTACCAGGACTCACAAACCTTGCGCGGACCTACACATTAGGCTGGGTCTCAATATTTTTCATTTCCTTCCCTCATCTCCTCTATGAACTTTAGAGAATACAACAATGAGCCAGTGAGACAGACAAGGAAGGAACCCAAACACTATCGAGACGCCCCCTTTATTTTACACAGCAAATATCAGCATGAGGAAACATTTTGCCTGTTGTTCCACTCTGAGGATCTTAATGTGAAAAAGTTCGGAAATCACTAAAAATACTACTAGGGACTTGTCCCTACCATCCAAGGTTCAAGGTTTATTTATTGTCATTCTTAAGATGTTGACACATGAAGAGAACAAAATTTGTGACTCCAGCCGCGCTCAAAAAAGTGACAGCGATCCAACAGTAACTTAATAAAAGCTAGAAATAACTCACTGCCTAAAAATGCATATCTAAGACCTATCAATGAATGAGAGAAAGTTACATAGTTTAAAAGCAGAGCAGCATAGTGTAAAAAAACAGTAGCACTGCAGTAGTAGTAGCAGCACAACAGAGGAATGAAAAGGGGTGGTGAGGTCAGGCAGCCATTGAGGGAGGGAGTTCATGAGTCTCACAGCCCCTGAGAAGAAGCTGCTTCCATGCCTTGATGTTCTGGCTTTGGTGCTTCGCAGCCGGGAAGGGGGGGGCGAACGGTCCATATGCTGGGTGGGTGGGGTCCTTCATAATGCAGGACACCCTCCTTCTGCATCTGTTGATGTAAATGTCCTCAGCATATGGAGGACTACTCTGAGTGATCTTTTGAGAAGGTTTTCCTTTCAGCGGCAGAGCAGTTCCCATTCCAAGCTGTAATGCAGGAAGGGAGGATGGTCTCCACCACACCCCAGTAGAATGCTGTCAGGACCAGGGGATGCCGAGGCCTCCTAAGAAGATAAAGACGTTGGTGGGCCTCCTTCATGATACTGGCTGTGTTGTTGGCCCATGTGAGGTCATTGAGGTCCACAATCATCTCCTTCGTCTTCCCCGCCTCGATGCAGAGGTTATTTGCTCTCCACCAGTCCCCCAGGTTTTCTACCACCTGCCTGTACTCAAGACTCATCGTCGTGGGAGATCAGTCCCACCACAGCTGTGTCACCTGCCGGGTGATGTCTTGAGGCTGATTGGGGAGAATGAGATGCCATGGATTTTAATAGTCTGTGGCCTGTTTGTCAAAAAGTCCAGGACCTAGTTGCGAAGTGATGGCTTCAGACCAAGCAGCAACAGTTTGTTGACTAGAGTCTGTGGGATGATTGTATTAAAGACAGAACTGTGGTCCAATAAGAGCAATCTGACGTAGGAGTCCCCGGTCTGCAGGTGGATGAGAGCCAATTGGATAACAGATGAAACTGCATCAGATGTGTTCATCTTGTACTTATACTAATCAGGGTCCATGCTGATGGGTGTGTTTATTTCTGGTCTCCAATTCCTTCCTTGCTGCTCTCATTGTGGATGCATCTCCTAGACCTGAATGCTGAGTCCTGTGCATTGAGAAGAAACCGCACCTCTCCATTTAGCTCTCTCTCTCCTCTCCATAGTCAACTCTGCGGTCTTGGTGTATTATTTTCACTGGTCTGTCCTCACACTGCTGCCTGTGAGTGGCATGCAGGTTTGGAAGGTGGCACCCCGTTGATTGTAACAGGGTTGTAGTGCCTCACCTGCACTGCCAGAAAAAAACGAGTACCAATTTGTACCTGTGCTTGTCACTCGTGCTGTACTCTCAAGGTTCCACCATTTGTACCCTATACCTATAGGCAATTGTACCTTTTAAGGTACAGAAACGGACTCTGAGGAACATACCCAAGGTACAGATGTTACTCATGTGTCCGGGGGAAGCAGCACAGAAACCGTGAAGTCAGGTAAAACCGGGGTTTATTCGGGAAAGATACCAAATCACAGGAAACAACGCAAGCATGAACATCAATGAACGGACAGGGGTATACCTGGTTCTCCAGCTCCTTCTGGCTGGGTGTTTCATCATTTGTTCTGGCCCACCGTGACTGTGCTGTCAGCAGACTTGACAATGGCGTTATAACTGAATGTGGCCACACAGTCGTGCGCGTATAGGGAGCAGATCCAGGGGCTCAGCACACAACCCTGGGGGGTTCCTGTGCTGAGCATCTGCCCGTCAGGAAGTCCAGAACCCAGATGCACAGGGATGTGTTCAGACACAAGTCCTGAGCTTGCTGATGAGCTTGATAGAGATTATCATGCTAAAGGCGGAGCTGTATTCATTGAACAGGAACCTCACATAGATGCCCATCCTGCCAACCAAGTGGCTGAGAGCAGTGTGCAGGATGGGAAACTGAAGCAGCACCATTCTGTTGGCTGGTGTGGAGCAGATGTGGTCATTGACCAGTCACTCAAAGCACTTCATTACTGTTGAAGCAAGACAGAAGTCATTTAGACACGCTGGGTAGGGTTTCTTGTGGGCAGGAATGGTAGTTCGTTAGAAGCACACTGATGCTGTGGCTTGAGTTGGTGAAGAACTGAATATGGGTGAGAAAATCGGAGGTAATTGGTTTGTATAGGCTGTCACTCCCTTAAATGCCCTTCTCACCTCAGCTAATCTCACACTCGAGGAGTGGACCAGAAGATGTTTCTGTTTATTGTGGGCAACCAGCACACCGATTAGCTTCTTGCTCTGCTGAAATGGAGCAAGGAAACTCTAGCACGTCACAGCTCCATAAGTTTAACCTATGCAGTCTGAGCCGGAAACAGAATTGATTAGTTCATCTCTCGAGTCTTCGGGTCTGAGTCGTTCGTTCATCAAGTGACAGCCCCATACTGTAAGCTTAACCTATTTGCAGTCTGAGCCGGAAAGAGAATTGATTAGTTCATTCCTCGAGTCTTTCGAGTCGTTCATTCTTATGTGACAGCACTGGATATAGAAATTAGTTACTAATTTACAACCTTCCTTACAAACGGGTGCATAGTTTATTATTATTATTATTATTAATTAGTTATCATAACCTTAATATTTTAAACTAACCTTAATCATTCAAATTCAAAATGTTATTTGCTTTTACTTTGTCATTATGTCCTTTTTATTGTCATTGTCATTATGTCCTTTTTGCCCAATCTTTTTATACAAATATTAGATCAATATGTTAAGTCTGCATAGGAAAAGCAATTATACCAGGAAACTCAAAATTGGAGTAAAAATGAACACTGCTATAGAATAGTGTAGGATTATTAACTATAAGTACTTTGTAATTGTAGGCTTGGATTATTTTATTATATAGCCTAGTGTTTGTTTACTGATAGACAAAGACAATGAAAGGACAAATTAATCAAAAATTTATTTGTAACAGGGTGATTTATTTATAAAATAACACACCACAGGATCCTCAAGAAACAGTAACAAAATCATAGTGACAGAAATTGACAGACCTTTTTTATTTATAAGAAAATGCGTTTTAGATATTTTTGATAATTTTATGATAATTTTTAAATATGATCCAACATACAACAAATGAATTTTACGTTAGTATTTGACTGAGGTACTGAGCCGGTAAGTGGTCACGTGACAAAAGACTGAACGACTGGAAAGACTCGAGAGATGAACTAATCAATTCTGTCTCCGCCTCAGACTGCATACTAGGTTAAGCTTATGGAGCTGTCACGTGATGAACGAACGACTCGAAAAACCCGAAGACTGGAAACAGGTGAATCAATAATTCCAATACAGAAACTACAGGAAGTTGCGCAAATGCGCATCCGCAACTGAACGAATCATTCCCACGAGACTACTCGTTCTTCCCGAGTCACATTAAAGATTCGTTAAAAATGAACGAATCGTTCAAGAACGACCCATCACTAACGTACACGGCAAAACGGTTTAAGAGACGTGCCAATAGTAAAGAACATCAAACATGCGTGGCTTTTTGGAAAGAGAGACAGTTGCGATGTTCTACAGGCAGTGAGATTTCAACTCTGGTTAATTCCGATCAGCTCTCTCGAAACCGCCTGTATGTCTCTGCCATTGTAGACATAATTGAATTCGTTGTCTCAAACGAATTGCCATTGAGGGGATCCATCGATTCGGTTGATAACCGAGATCAAGCGGGAAGTGGACTTTTTCTGTCTTTGTTTGATTACACTTTGAGACAGAACGAAGAGCTTGCCCGGGCTTATAGTCCAGTTCCGTAAAACGCTATTGAGTTTAATTTTTTAATTTATTTTTTAAATGTTTTGGTGTGTTGGCTTGATCGAGAAATATGCGTCCACTTGCTTTATGTTTAATGTCAAACATCGCAGTTGTGCCATGGTGTTTGGAACGTACGTTTAGGGTTTGTTAAATAGTAGCGTGTTTGTGTGTGCGATCAAACAGTAATTATCACGTAGAACTAACAATCGTACAGTGTGCATATTTTGGGAGTTAAATCACCGCCCCCTCTCTGCATTTCAATTGCCCCCCCAACTTGTTTTCCGCTGGCGCCGGGCCTGCTCTGAGATTCCAATGTGATGATCGCTTTCTCTCATTACCACCTACTGTTTAGCTTTTCCACGCAGACACAGAAACAAACGAAACATTTCGAAAAGCCACATCTTAATAAAACATTTATTTCATCTGATTCTTTGGAATGTAGTAGTCATAAGTCAAAGTGAGAGACAGCGGTGAGTTTATGAGCGTGACCCTGGTATCGCAGTACAAACATAATTTTAGCTTTTAAGGCATTGCTGTTTATTCATTTTTTTTCCTACAACAGCAAAGTACAGAAGCAGTATTGAAAATAAAACTTCTCATAAAAAAAGAAAAGCACAAACGTCAGATGACAGTACAAAACAAGTGGTAACATAACTCTTAAATGGAAACGTTACTGTAGCAAATTGATATAGCTTCTCAATGATGAAAAACACCTCAGTAAATTGTACATTGCAGAATCAAATCACATTACCTGAAATCATATAAAAAGAAACATTTGTAACACTGTCTTTTGCATTTTTTTTTTTTTTTTACAAATTCATATTATAAACACGTTTACCATTTAAATATATTCTTCAGTGCAACATTGTTTCTTTTATTTCCACACTACAGAGTCCTTTTATCACAACTCTGTTGACGTCAGCTCTCCTCTTCCGACACGGTACAGAGAGAATGGATGCGGGACACGGCACGTCTGACCCGTCGCCACGGCCATCTGACAACAGGGACCGGCGTTCCACCGGGTTTACGAAGCGGACTCCCTCGAGTGACACGGACCTGAGGCAGCGTATTGGCAGCTATTAACCTGGTGGAGCGCCGTAAACGCACAGAATTGTGCGTCAGCCGCCCCGCACGCCGATACAGTAAGAGTTTGCGGTACAGCCGGGGTACGAGAAGATCGAGCGGAGGCTTCGATTCCACCGCACTCCGGCGTAGCACAGCACACACAAAGCAGACTTGTTTCTCCTGACCCACGGGAGCTATTTCACAACATCTCAGTTACTTGATCCATTTAACGTGAACGTTACCGAGGCTGACATGACAGGGCTGTAGATACTGTCTCCAGACCCAAGCTCTGACAAAGCAGGGGTCGTTTCGAGGGAAATCGAGAAATGAGCGCTTCTCTCAGCCGGGCTACAATCTCCGATGACACATCTGTGGCTGTGGAGAAGAACACTGCAGCTTTTTTTTGTTAAAAGAGGTTCTTTTTTCAAATATATTATAATTTATATACAAAATGGGACACGGTGGGAAACCTGCGTGGATCCACTCGGCAGAACGATACTCGCGGCGTCCAGAACTAAAGGCGGAACTGTTAATAATAAAATAAAAAAATCACCCAAGGCGTGACGAAGGCACTGCGGGAACCATACGTGCGACTAGCGCCTCACACTGAGCACACACAGACACTGCATGGCAGTGTGGTTCGTTTGGGGTTTTCCGACCAAAGACGAAATAAAAAGTTTTAAAATCTTAAAATTAAAGTTCTATCCAGGAAAAAAAGACAAATACGCCAGAATGTCCTCTTGATTGGTCTCAGGACCAGCATCTGGTTATTTCAGTGAAAAAGAAAACAACAACAAAAAAAAAAAAACTAAATTAAAATAATCATCTTACTGTACACATTTTTTTCCTTCAATTTTATACACAGTGTCCCCCTAGTGGTGAGTTTCCTTCACTGCAGGTCCTGAGAAAAGCCTGGCTCAGTCCCAGCCTCTGTGGACAGGAGGCGCCTTGCTGGTGACCCTCACGCTTCCGAATATGATTTCTGTGCATTCAGCTTGTCCTTCTTCAGCTTAACGCCGTCCACCAGCTCAAAGTTGTAGTTCTCCAGTGCCGAGAGGTTCCGGTCCGACACGCCGCCGTGGGAGCAGGCGCAGTAGAGGACGACCCCGCAGATGGCCCCCAGGAAAACGCCCAGGGCGCTCATGGCGATGATGGTTATCAGGATGGGGTCCAGTGTCCTCAGCATGGTCCCCGGGCCGTCCATGATGTCGTCTGGGTAATCTGTGTATGCTGTAGCACAGGGGTGAGAGCAGAGAGACATGCTGTCTCAGGGCTCCTCAGTCAATTTTTACAGCTACCTCACCGATTTAAGACATATAATTGGCTAATGTATATACATGGGTGGGGCCACAGGGGCACTAGCCCCAGCTGAACGCTGATTGGCCACCTCACCTATCACTCACTGATTTAAAACATATAATTGGCTAATGTATATATATGGGTGGGGCCACATGGGCACTAGCCCCAGCTGAATGCTGATTGGCCCCGAAGTGCCCCCTCACCTATCACTCACCGATTTAAAACATATAATTGGCTAATGTATAAATTAGGCTCCTCTTATGCGTCTCACCTTTAAAAAAAATAGACATACAAGAAAGGATCAGAGAGCATGATCAGCCAGGAGAAAATGGGTTTCAGGGTCTTGGTCAAGGACCCAATAGTGACATCACTCTGCCAGCCATGGGATTTGAACTAATAACCTTCTGATCACAGGCATGGAGTCCGACCCCACAAGACCACACATTTCCACGATTAAGCAAACTTCTCCTAATTTGCTAATTTCTCTTCATTAATTTGCTGCCATTTCACTAATGTGTGGTCACTTAACGCCAATTCAAAATGGAGAATATCTGAGATGGAATGAAAAGAGCACGACGTACAGATTTTATCCGGTGACCCTGGAAATTCCGTTGGAGCACCTGCGTCTGAAAAAGGACAAAAGTGCTGATCAGAACCGGAAGAGAAGCCCAGGCTGGCCAGCCCGATCCGGGGCACGGGATGATGGGGGCGGGGCATGGGATGATGGGGGCGGGCATTTGATGATGGGGGCGGGGCACGGGATGATGGGGGCGGGACACTCGATGACGTTGCTCACTTATGTTAATGACGAACTCGGAGCTGAAACTTGGAAGGACGGTGAGAACCCTATCACTGTCCAGGCAGTCTCTCAGGACCATGATGTCATCCAAGGCAATGTGGCCCCAGGTGTTACTCTCCAGCACCCCCTCAATCACCACCTGGGGGGAGGGACACACAACTTTAAACAGGGCTTTATGTGTCAGAAGTACAAGGTACAGGAATGCTTCTTTGGCTGCATCCCATCTCCTGTGACACAAGGCGAGGCTACATGCCAGTCAGCCCCCCCCCCCCCCATATTAGTAACCAAGACATTAGCATAGAGCAGTTCCTGGATGCTAATGTTAAGTTACATAATATGCATACAAAACAAATTTCAGGGGAAATTGGGTGCAACTGAAAACAGTGGATAAGTGAATAGGAATTATGATAATTTTTTAATCACATGATAATGTGATAATACAGCATGATAAAAACAACAACACAATTAACATTATAACCTGATCACCTGTAAATTATGACATAATAGCAATGATAAAGAAACTGGTAACAGCGTGATAATTAAGCCTACTTAAGCACCGAAAGCACTTCCTGTTCGAGTCTGGAAGAGACGCCGGAAGGTGCTGGGGTACCTGGTGGGGCGACGTGGAGGCGGGAATCAGCACGCGGCCCTGCGTCCAGCGCCCCCCCCTGCGTCCGCCGTTACTCCACAGCACGGGCTCGTCGTCTCTGTGCCTGCCCCCGTTCCTCCTCCGCCTCACCAACAGGTTCCCGACGTGCGGCTCCGCCGTGTGGAACCAGAAGGACAGGCACACGTCTGGGTCTTGCCCCATCAGAGGGCTCACCAGCCGGCCCGTCACGCGCTCCTGAGTGTCGGAGACCGAGTGCAGGTAGACGAAGTTCCCAAAGTCACCTGCAGGGGGAGCAGCACTTTAGAGAGGGCAAGGAGAACAGGCTGCACCACACTATGGATCAGACATTTCAAATTATTTATCTTATGGAAATATTAAGAATTCTGCACAAAGGTACAATAGCAACACTCTCACACAATTATGATACCTGTAGTTGGATTAAGCATAAATCACAAAGCTGTTTTATTTACTGGTCACTGATTCTCGACATTGACCCCTTCACCATTCCCCTTGGTGCCCCCCCCCCATTGGTGCCTCTCTTACCATTATGGTCCAGGGTGGGGCCAGTGCCCGTGCCTGAATTTCCGTCAGACCGGATGACCCACTTGACGTTCCCGTCCGACTCCGGGTTCCAGCCGCAGAATGAGGGTTCACTGGTTCGGCCAAAGTCACACTCAAGCCACGCAAAGTCTGCAACAAGAGCCATGAGATGGGTCAATTCTGCCGCACTGCCACGGGGTTACCTTAAAATGCACTGATTCCTGCTAACGTTAGCATCTGGCTTCTTGGTTAGCTTTAGCTCCCTGCACTTGACTTAGCGTTATCACCTTGCGTCTTGATTAGCTTAGCGCCCTGCATCTGACTTAGCTTTAGCGCCCGGCATCTGACTTAGCTTTAGCAGATGTTAGCTTTAGTGCTTTATTTCTGAGTTAGCTTTAGCGCCTTCCCCCTCAGTTAGCTTTAGTGCTTTATTTCTGAGTTAGCTTTAGCGCCTTCCCCCTTGGTTAGCTTTAGTGCCCTGCATGTGAGTTAGCTTTAGTGCTTTACTTCTGAGTTAGCTTTAGCGCCTTCCCCCTTGGTTAGCTTTAGTGCCCTGCATGTGAGTTAGCTTTAGTGCTTTACTTNTTAGCTTTAGTGCTTTACTTCTGAGTTAGCTTTAGCGCCTTCCCCCTTGGTTAGCTTTAGTGCCCTGCATGTGAGTTAGCTTTAGTGCTTTACTTTTGAGTTAGCTTTAGTACCCTGCTTCTGGGTTAGCTTAGCAACTCACTTGTCACAATGCTCTATTTAACATTATTTAACCGCTCATTCATTTGGTCAGCAAACACATCTATTCCCAGTTTAAATGCAATTATATGGATGCCAATTACACGACATACAAAGTGGGCACATTTCTTAACAATGCAGCACACAGGTGAGCACGAAAACCCCTTAGCAGTCTGTGCCTCCGTGCGTTTTTTTTTTTTTTTTTATGTGGAAACACAGGCTAAAAATACATCTCGCAGTCAATGTTGCCCTTATAAGGTTGTGACTGGAGGAGCCTGCAGGCTGATAACCACTAGAGGGCAGCAGAGAGCTTTCCCTAGTCAATGAGAATGTTCCTGGAAGCAGCAGATTAAAAATACATGACAGGAAGAGAAATGCGAGGATGGAAAGGCTTTGATATTTCAAAGAAGGCAAAGAAGTCAGTAACGTCTTCAAGGCAGACCTGCTGCGGTCCATAGAGTTGATAGGGATTCTGTGGAACCAGCAGCATTTAGGTATAATGTACAAGGAGTCATTTGTGAGAATTGATTGAAAGTTTTAGAGGAACGAATGCGCGATGGCGGTGAGGTGGGGGGGCAGAGGGAGGGGGCACCGCTCTCAGTCATGCAGAGCTATTTCTATGGCAATGAAAACGCAATTTTCCGCCCGGCGGGGCTCCGCTGTCATTGGCTGACGGAGCCTGACGTTCGCCATCTGCCCCGGGCGGGAGCAGGGCCTGGCTCACCTGCCTCCGCATCCATCTCCTGAGTGACTCCCTCCGGGGTCGTGGCACCTGCAGGACAACAAGCAGGAGACTTGATGAGGCATTACTGGGAACACTGGCGGAAATAGAGGTAAAGGGGTCAAACTCAGGGTCATGGTCCAGCTCGGGAGCACAGAGCCCTGCAGAGGGTGGCCGGGTCATCACCAGGACACATCTGCTCTCACTTCAGGCCATTAACACAGCGGACTGCCTCGGAAAGGCGGACAGCGTCACCAGTGACTGCAGTCTCCCTACGCAGGCCCTGGTCTCCCGCCTCCCTGACAGACTGCCTCGGAAAGG